TTAATGGCTTTGAATTTGAGTTTTGAGCTTGGTAGCAAATCTGAAAATTTCAGAATTTTGCTTATACGTTCGAGCGAAGGAATCCATGCTCAAGCGACCACTCTAAGTGTGTGTATTTCCGCTCGAGCGACCAGAAGTCTACTCGAATGTGAAATGCATGCTCCCAAAAGTTCTTATGTTTTGCAGATCGCTCGAGCGAGGACATGTCTCTCACGCTCAAGTGAGCGACGAGCGAGCATCGAGCGGAAAAAGCAAGCAACCAACACTTTTACAAAAGTTTACAGACTGCTCGAGCGACAGATCTTGCGCTCGAGCGACCACTCACATTTTGCATGTCCGCTCGAGCGAGGACCTTATTTTCAGCAATTTTTATTAAGTGTTTTCAAGTACATTTTTGCATCATCTTTCCATCCTAGACATTCTTAGGCCAAGTTTAAGACACCATAATGAGAATAAAGAAGTAGAAACACACCAAGACAAAAAAAACTAAGTTTATGATTCCGGGTGTGTAATTTTGTACGTAGTCGATTTGTATCTGTGTAGGTCACGCACCACGAGATATCTAAATAGCCTACTCTGTCTGTTACTTTGAGCCATCTGTTATCTGTGAGTAATACCTTAGTAAAACTATGTTCAAATTAAATTATTTTCTGTATGTGAAATAATATCTGTTTTATGAAATGCTATGTTTTACACTATGAATGATTGTCCAACTCTGATAAATATTTGTGACATTATGCTATGATTCAAGTATGCTATATGTACCCAGACCGGAGGTTCCTTATGGAACTAATAAGTTATTGTACCAGGCTGGAGGTTCCTTTATGGAACTGACAAGTTATTCGTACCCGACCGGAGGTTCCTCTATGGATCTAACAAGTATAATCTAAGATGCTTTGCAAATGATTTGTTAGCGCTAACGGATAAACTATGGATGATCAAGCATGAATTCCAAATTCTGTGTACGCATTGAATAAAGATACGGATATGAATTTATTCTATGTACAAGCTTAGTCATGGGACATTATTCATTTAACCATTTACTCTGTTATTATTCACTAGGCTCTCGTTCACTATTTATATTATGTATGTAGGTGATTAGGCATGTGACCAGGCTCAGGGTTGAGGACCTAACATTTCAGTTTTTGTTAGCCATCCTTTGTGCATCCTGAAGAGGTTCCAGATTAAGTCAAGTCTAGTGGTTGTGTTATTTATGACTATATAAGACTTTGTTCCTCTTTGCTCCATGATCAAGATTTTTTTATTTTTTATTTTTTATGTACATGAAGTGACGTGTAAATACTATATATTTTGACATCACTCGTATGTTTATAAAAATTTAAGATTATCAGTTTCATGTATGTCTTCACAGCTCAATGGTTTATATATATTTTATGTATTTGCTTCTGTAACTCCTAATTATTCATTATTATGTTAAGAGAACTTTGGTAATCCAAGAATTTCTAGCCGGCTACGATATTAAACCTATAAGGGCAGGCTTGGGTCGTGACAACAAATCTCTTGCTTTTTTTGCAAATTGCGGTGAAGAGAGAGAGAGAGAGTGAAGAAGATGAGATGGGTGGTGGTGGTGGTTGTTGTTTTTGTTGTTGGTGGTGTTCATGAATGTTTGACGAGAGAGAGAAGAGCAGCAGGAAAGAGAGATAAAGAGGGTGAGATATATCAAATTTCTCTGTGATAGATGAACGTGGGATTGAGGGATCTTAGATATCAAAAAATAATATTGTAAATCTCTTCCATTACTAAAAATGGAAGAGGGACTTTAGACCAAATTTTCCATTATTATTTTAGTCAATGAGTCAAAAAATCGTTATAAATTATCACATCACTTTATATATCTTTATATCCTTATTTCATAAAAAATTTAATTAAATTAATTCAGTGTGTTTGTTTCAGCTTTTTGAAATTTGAGTTTTTTGTTTTTCGTATTTTTTTGTTTTTAGTGAATATTTTTTAAATTTTAAGCAATTTTTTTTTAAAAAAAACTTTTTTAGATACACTTTACTTAAATGTATATAAATAGTAAAATATTTGTAAAAAATATTTTCAAAAATTAATAAATATACAAAAATACGAAAAATATATTGAATTTTTATTTTTGTATTTTTTGGTATTTAGTGTATTTTTTAAAGATATTTTTCACAAATATTATATTTTTTAAGTATATTTATGTTAAACGTGTCTAAAAATTAAAAACATGCTTAAAATATTAAAAAAATTCATTGAAAATATTAAAATACAAAAAAAAAATCCTAAAAATTATTTTTTAAAAATCAAAACTAAACAAAGTAATTAATTTTCAAACTAAACTTAAATACCATTTTATTATTTTCATGACGCAACACAATCATGATCCTTCTCTTTCTTTCCACCAAGAACAAGACTTATGGGTATCACCTACCTAGCAATATCACAGGACCACCAAATAACTTCTCAAAAACGCATACGATTACCACTTTTTTTTTTTTTTTTGGATAACTACCATTACCAACTTTTTAAATTTTTAATGCTACAGTTACCAGCTTGAACACGGCTACATGCACAAAATTAATACGCACAAAATTAAAGTCTACAATACCCAAAAAATAAATCAGAATTTTAGATCAATGATTTCCACGTAAAGTTATTTCTCATGTATAAAAGAAAAAGTATGGGAATTTGGACAAAATTATATAAATTTTTTTGGATGAATGATTGTGTGGTAAAAATTAAATTTATATATTATTGGTTTATATATAAAATAAATCTGAATTATAAGACGATAATTTTAGACAATTTCTAAATAGTTAAATCTAAGTTTGTAGTATTGCTATGCACAAAAACTCTTATAATGGGCCCCATTTAAAAAAATAAAAAGAGTAAATTATAAATACATTCTTTGAGATTTACTTAAAATACAGGTTGTTCATGCGGCTTGAAAAATAATAAATACCCCATTATAAAAAAATTTATTTAACATAATTAACTAAAAAAATTAAATTTCTAAATGCTCTCTTATATAATAATAAAATTATCCAATTTATTAATTGAAATAAGTTTTTAACATCATTAAAAACTATTAATTGATTTGATGGTTTATTAATAAAAAGAACTATTTATTTTGAAATTAAAATTTCCAAAAGACAATATGTAATTTTTAAAATTGTAAAAAATAATTTATATTTTAAGTAAATCTCATAAAGTATATTTATAAATTTTTTTTTTTTAAAAAAAGAAAAATTGTGGAACCACACTTTCATGTGCATTTGAGAATCCCTCTGCAAGCAATATCTCTGTTGTGCATAAATAATAAGAGTAATGCTATATGTATTAATTAGTATATTAAGGTCTCGTTTGGGATGAGGCCTTCTTAGCCAATTAGCCAAAAAGTTACTAAATTAGCCAATTAGCCAATTAGTCATACAAAAAAGTCAACAATTACGGCTTCTCTCTACTTTTTGCACAGCTTTTCGTAATTAGTCAAAAAGTCATCCCAAACATACAAGTTTTTTTTACCTACCTTTTTAGTCAATTAGCCAAAAAGTTACTAAATTAGCCTGTTCCCAAACGAGACCTAAGTAATATATTAATAGATGATGTGAGATAATTTTAAAAGTTTTTTGGTATTTGTAATTTAATAATATTTGAGATTTCTAATTTGAAAATTCTAATGATATGGAGAGTGTCTATGTGATATGAGGCTCACACTCCTCTCTCTATCTCTCTCTACTTTTTCTTTCTTCCACCTCATTAGAGCTACTATTTTAGAATTATGTATTACGACTCTTTTTAATTTGTACAATGTGTGATATCATAATTTTAAAATAATAATATCATAATATATATTGGTACACTAATTGATATATTAATTGATGCGTCTAGAACTACCAAAATAATAAAGCTCTTAACGTTCATTTAGCCAGATGGTGGGAAATAATTTAGGTCATTCAAAGACAAAAATATATTAAAAAGTTAATAAAATAAAATATCGTATTGAAATTATAATCATTTTATTTTTGCTCTCACAATATTACAAAAAAAAAAAAATAATTCCAAACAATTTTTTTGACCAAATTAAAATATCTTAAAAAACAAACTAAAAAAATTCTTTCTAAACTGGCTTTATTTGGGATAAACTAAAAAGATAAAAAAATTATTACAAAAAGTTAAAAAGTATATACTATTCGAGAGTAAATAATTGTAGGAGAAGCCAGTTTTGAATTCAACTAAAAAAAGTTCAAAAAGTCAAAAGGATAAAGTGGTAATTTTGATTTTATTATAATATTTTACTAATATATCGCCCGTGCTATGCATAGATTGTGTTTACAATTATCTATATATGTGAATTGTGATTTTTAAATATATATATTTTTTATATTATATTAAAGTTTATTATTTTGATAATAATCATATGTGTTAGACTTTTTAAGGAATTAAATGTATTTTTTAAATTATATTATATTACAGTTTAATATTTTGATAATAATCATATGTGTAGGATTTTTCAAATTTTTTTTATGCTTGTTCTTAATGCATTAAAGTGTTATTATGAGGAATAATAATTATATGTGTGAAGACTTTTTAAGGAATTCATATGTGTTGGATTTCAAAGAATTTTTTTTATACTTATTCTTAATATATTAAAGTGTTATTATGAGGGTAAGACTTGAGGGTTGGGAGAAGTTAATAAATGCTAAGGTTTTTTTATTTTTTTAAATCAAAAAATCAAAAAATTTAAATTGAGAGAATGGAGCTCGCACAAGACTTGGGGTTAAAAATATCATTTTGCTTAATATATAGTATAGATTATACATTTTTTCGTAAAAAATCAAAATATCATCTAAAATTATAATATTTTTTCTCTATTTTTTTAACAAAAAAAAAATCAAAAAACACATTTATAATATAACACATTCCAAATAATTACTTAAAAAGGAAAAAAAAAAAGAAAAAAAAGAAGCCTGTTAGATATATGGACATGAAAAAAAAGAAAAAAAAGAAGCCTGTTAGATATATGGACATGCATGTCACTGTACCGGTGTACGAGTACACACAATTCGCACATTTGAGGTAGTCTTGGCAGGAGGACCTCTTGGGATCCAAACGCTTTTTTTTGATTTTGACACATCACGTCACCGACCATGGTGTCTTTGACATTGGGATTTCCGTTGATCGGAGGGGCAAATCTGGAAAGCGGTACAAGAAGTTTGATTTCTGCAACCGCAAGCGGCGGCGGCGGAGCTGGGTTTCCGTCGTTTCTGCCGAAAGAAGTGCACAAAATCAAAGACCCATTTGCTCGAACCCTAGCTCAGAGGATCCAAAGGCTTCCCGTACAGGTCTGTTTTTTTTTTTTTGTGTGTGTGTTTTTGTCATTGTCTTTAGGTAATCGTAATGGGGATTAAAAGTACAAATGAATTTCTATTATTGTGTTTGTGGAAGAAAATGAATGCATGTTTAAGGAATTTCACCCTTTTATTTTATTTTTATTATTTAGATGTTGATGCTTTTAATTAGGAAGTAAGGAGGGCAGTATGGGCAATAGGATTATATAAGATTTTGTTAAAAATTCAGGGTAATGGGTCCTAATAATTGAAATTCATCCCACCAAATTATATTCTTTTTTGAATTCCACGCATGCCAAACAAGTCAAATTTCATTTTGAAATGTCAGTTTCATCAAATTCGGGTTAAATTCCACTACTTTGCAACGAGAACGAGGTAAATTTGTATTACTTAGAGCATCTCTAATCCTTTACCAATTTTTTCATTTACTTTGATTTTAAATTTGAGTAAATACTTGATTTGATATCAACTACTATTGCAATCCTTTCATCAAAATCTTTTAAAAAATGCCCACCGTATATTCCAAATTTTACTTTTCATCAATTTTGATTAAAAAAAGTCATTTCTAATGCTTCATCTTTCTAAATTTTCATCAAATTTGATCAAGGTTTTGATGATTTTTCAATTTGATGAAAAAATTGACTCTTACTTGATTTGACTAAGGATTGGAGATGATTTTTGAGTACTTTTTCATCAAATTTATATTTGATGAAAGAAAAGATGAAGAATTAGAGCTTTTCCAATCATTACTTCCTCGTTCTTTTTTTTTTTTTCGTTTTTTTTTTTTTTTTTTTTTTCCCCCATCAAATTTGAGTGAAAATATGGTTAAAAGCTTGAATTGATATGGAACACTTCAATCCTCCTCCTCTCTATTTGTTTTTTTTTTTTCATCAAATATTTTTGAAAAATTCCATACTTATCCTAAAAATTTGTTTGAGCCATCCCTCTTTAAATTTCATCAAATTTGAGTAAAAATATAACGGTTGGAAATTAGGTGAAAGATTTGATTCATCCTTAATTTGATATAGATTTGATGAAATGATTGGAACACACTTTTAGCTATTTTTCTTCAAATTTGAATTTCATGAAAAATTTGATGAAGGATTGGAGATGCTCTTAGATGTCTTTGGTATTTCCTGCCTTGTTGTCGCTTGTGTTCTGTTTTCTTTACCTAGTAGAGGTTATGTTTAATTTTACAGGTGTTGCATTTTTATGGTGATCATTTGGTTTTAAAAATAAATTGTTTTTATTTTTGCCTACAAACAGTATACATTTTTCTTTTTAATAAGTTTATCTACTTAATATATATCAAGGTTATATTTTTTGATATTAAGATTGTCTTTGATAACCCAGTCAAATATTGAAACTGTAATAAAGTAAGTAACATTAAATATTACATCTCACTAATAAAGGGCATGGATTTTAAGTGAGAATTACTTTTTACTAAATTCTGAAGTTAAATTTCAATCTAGACTGACCTGACATTTTTTTCACTTTGTTAAATGAGATCTTAAATTTGAAACTAAGCTCAAAACTTTACAACCAAAATTTCAGATTTAAGTTTCTTACTAATTCACCATAGTTTCTGTAGTCCAAATTTGTATTTATCAACTATGTTACATGGACTCGGGTATGGGTGTCGGGTGCGGGTATGTATCTAGAGGTCGGACTCATCAAATCATAAATTTAAGGATACGCGGACTCGGCAAAAAAATGTCATATTTTTATATTTTTAATCTAATATGTGAGATAAAATGGTATTATATTTAACTTATAGTGTCAAAATGACATTTATAGCAATTATATAACAATATATACATATAATAATAGTGTTATATACAATTATATAAGAAGTATCCGTTGAAAAGTATCCGACACATATCCCATACCCTTGTCCGAGTGTCGGGTGTCCGACACGGGTATTTGATTTAATTTGAAGAGTCCATGTAACATAGTTTATCAAACAGCACTTTTGTTATTGTTGTTGTTTTGGTAATTCAATCAAGTTGTCATTTGCTAAGTCTCACTAAGTAAATTATCTAAACGAATAATATAATCTGATGATTTTTGGCATTTGTTTTAGCATTTTTTCTAAGAATATTGTTTGAAGGATTTCACATATTCATTGAGGTTAAGTGGTTGAAGTCAGTGAGTCCAGATTGAACAAGAACAGTAAACAGCTCTAAAGTTATTTTTATTCAAGGGGAAAGTTGCAATCGACTGATTTGTGTTTCACTGCTTTGGATGTTGCAGATTGAATTTTCTGAAAGTTGTATTATGAGTAGTTGTGTGAAGCCAATAAGACAATGTGAGTCCAACCCTGTGGTTCTTCTCCACTGTTTTGACAGGTTTGTAGCATGCACAAGTTATACTACAAAAAGAGTAATGCTACAAAGATCATGTTTATATACCACATTTAGTTTACCATATGACGTGTCATCATTGTATTGGTAACAAACATGTGTGGTGGGACCCATTCAACCAATACAATTATGAAAATTGAGATGGTAAACCTAATGTGATATATAAACATAGTCATTGTAGCATTACTCCTACAAAAATTACCAATATTGTTCCCCACTGAGACTTTGCCATTCTGTTGAATTCGTAGCTCTTGTTTAGAATGGAGATGCACATATCCCTTGCTGGAGGAGGCGGGCTTGGAGGTTTGGGCTGTTGATGTTCTCGGGTGGGGCTTCTCCGATTTAGGTTAATTCCCCTACTTCCAACTCCTCTTTCGGCTTTAATGTACTTACCCACTTGTTGGACCATGTTTTATCTTTTCTATTACTAATTTTTTGTCATTCTATTCTTTCTTATTCTGACTCTATCAGAACCACTTCCACCATGTAATGCCGCAACAAAACGATATCATCTCTATCAGGTATTTTTATGAAGTTTTCTTTTCCTTGTCTCTTGGAAGTGTGAGTATTACCACTTTATTAAGCTCCACATTGGCAATGCTTTATTATTCATTCTATGCATCCCCATAAATCTATACATTATATTATTAGATGTGGTTAGTTTTCGATCATATAATTTTTCCATCTGTGATGGTATTTAATATTCTTTCGTCGAACAATTAATTGACTTTCTCTCATTTACATCATAGCTTTGGAAGACCCACATTAAAAGGCCAATGATCTTGGTTGGACCAAGCCTTGGTGGTGCTGTTGCAATTGATTTTGCTGTCAATTATCCTGAAGCTGTGAGTATTTCTAATCAATTGAGCTTATACCATGGTTCATGCACTCTACATTCATTGACTGGTTAGTCGTAGTTAGTATCTTCAAGTTCAGAAGTTTTTGAAATTTTAACCGTAAATGCATAATATAATGTGTTGTTGAGCTCTTTTGGCTATGCCAACTGTCAAGACTGTTGTATGGAACAATGAAATAGCAAAATTCTACAGTTTTTGGCAAAATACAAAGCCTCGGTGATCAAATAATGTTCCAAGATATGTTCGGTGTGAAAATATTAGTGCTACTACTTCCTGATTGAGTCAATTTTTTTTTTTTTTTTTTTTTTTTTTTTGAACTGGGACTTCAGAGTTGGTAGAGAAAGAAACTTAATTTTTCTTTATGGACTGGATCTTTATAAGGTAGTGATCTAATGATGGCTGTTTAGTAATCTAATAATAACTTTTTTGATGCTCTTGCTTCTGCTCTTATGCTATGATCTGACCACTTAGTCACTGATGTTAGTGCTCATGGGATACGTTCTCTATTCTTCACAGGTTGAAAAACTAGTTTTGATAAATGCAAGTGTCTATGCAGAAGGCACAGGACTACTGACAAAGTTACCTACAATAATGGCCTATGCAGTGGTGAGTTTGTTATTGTATTTCAACTTTGGCGTTTAGTCCTGATGGTTTTGGTTGTCCTAACATGTTGTGATTATGGCCATTGGCCATAAATGTGTGTTTGCTTGTGAGTTAGTTTGTGCTTACTTGCATGAATTTGTTGGTTCTCAATTTTAGTTGGCAAAAATCAAAATAGCAGTTGATCGACTCTAATTTTGGATTTAGAAATCTTAATAGAAACTTTATAATCAAAAGGTTGTATGGAATATAAACTAATAAAACTGGTAATAAAAATGAGGGAACAGTGTTCACTGCTGTTTGGTCATTAGGTGCACTCATTTATTTTCCCTTTTTCATGAAATCTTAAATGTAACTTTACTTAATCCTGAGTTTTATGTCTAAAAATACAAAATGCTGTAGCTGGAACTGTTTATGCCATTATAACAAATTAATATTCACGTAGTGGCTGATTGTGAGATTAGTTTGATTAAAGGAGATGATACATTTTTTCTTTAGGAATTCATAGGCTTTACGTTGATGCAACATTTTTTTTATGTCAAATATGAAATGGAAATCTTCCATTGGGATTCTAATTCTTATCTCAGAGCAGGTCTCATTGTTGAAGAGTGTACCACTACGACTGTATGCAAAGTTTTTGGTCTTTGGCTATATCCCGTTTACTACGAGCTTGGATTGGACCAATGTAAGTATATTATTTATTTATGTACTGATTAATAGTGGACACTCGTGAGAAGTGGAAACCACGTGTCATTGTTGAATTTTAATGGGGTATGTATGGAAGTTCTGGCCCCGATTTATAATGTCCAGGGTTAACAACATTGTTTTTCTCATCTTACTAAATAGGTGGGCCGCTTACACTGTTTGTTACCTTGGTGGGAGGATGCTACTGTTAACTATATTCTTAGTGGGGGTTATAACGTTGTTGCCCAAATAAAACAGGTATTTGAGCAATTTTAAGTGTCTTTTAGATAAATTCTGCAAACTTCTTTTAATTTGTAAGCATAAACAGGCATGATTATGATGATTGCATGGTGCAATCTTATCCAAAATGCTTAAGCTTGGGGGCTCATTATGACCTGTCATACCTTGTTTATCTTTCTTCAATACTAATCAAAAAAGAAAAATGTTATAAGTCCTAAATTTTCTACTAAATAAATGACCAAATGTCTCACGTGTAGACCCCACACTTTTTTGGATCTCACACCTATGTGAAATATTTGGTCGTTTATTTGGTATCTCTAGCATTACTCATCAAAAAAAGAAAAAGAATGTACCATTGTTCTATACTTCTACTTCTTTCTTTACGGGTTCTTTCAAGTTCAAATTTAAACTTGAGAGAACTTGAGGGACTAGTAGGGTCCACTATGAGTCCCGTTTCAATGATCTGAATCATTCATTTTGTAGGACTCTCTGTTTATATTATCTATGAAAAAAATTAGGTCGATCCGATAATCGTAACCATTTCAATTTATAGTGTTTGTCTTCAAAAAAATAGATGGTCTATTTTTAAAATCATACTTGTTGTCCATTTAAATTTTTTTTTTTTTTATCAAGAGCTGCCCAAGAGTGACCATTTTCGTTATTTAGGGTCAATTATCACAACAGCGGGGGAGATTGATGCAGATGTGACCCATAGGATTAAGGCAGGATGGTGTAAGTAGAGAAGTGCGTCTGGGGTACTGTGCGATAAACGAATACCCACTAGACTAAAAGGTAAGTTTTATAGAACGGCTATTAGACTAACGATGTTGTATGGGATGGAGTGTTGGGCAACCAAGAAACAACATGTAGATAAGATGAGTGTGGCTGAGATGAGGATACTAAGGTGGATGTGTGACAAGACTAGACAAGACAGAATTAGGAATGATTGTATTTGAGAATGGGTAGGCATAACACTGGTAGAAGATAAGTTGAGAGAAAATCAATTAAAATGGTTTGGTAATATTCAACGGAGACCAACAGAGGCAGTAGTGAAGAGATGCGATACTGTAACAGTAGATGGAAGTGTTAGGGGATGGGGTAGGCCTAGATTAATGTTAGCTAGCGTTCTAAATAGAGATATGGATCTACTTAATTTGACTAACGAAATGGCCGTTGATAGGGCCGCGTGGCGAAGAAGGATTCATGTAGCCAACCCTATTTGATGGGACTTAAAGCTCGGTTCTGTTTGGTTTGGTTTGGTTTGGTTTGGTACTTGTCGTCCATTTTTTTAGAGACAAAAAATGATAAAATCAATCTTATTTTTTTCATGGATGATAGACAACGAAGAGCCATATAAAATAAACGGTTCAAATTATCGAAATGGGGCTAGTGCTGGCCTCATGGGCCCTCATGTTCTCTCAATCTGAGAGAAGCCCAACCATGTGGTTTAGGTCACTTGTGACACTGACAGGACATTACCCAGTGGTGGTCCTCACTAATTGAGGAGAGGTAGGGTACAAACAACCCTCATGCCAGAAAATGTTCAAAAAAAATCTTTAACTTGCTATATTTGTTCATGTGTGCTTGAAATCTAATATCATATTATCTTGCTATATTGATATGAAGAGAATATCTGAAATTGCATCTTACTTAGGTCCTCTAAATAGCTGTTAGAGACGACAATGACTCCACGAATTTTTGTCAGTGGTTACATTTTAAAAATGTATGTATAGGTTTCATTTTCAATATTTTTGTTTTGTGTATTTGAAAGCAAAAATAATTTTCAAAAATTCATACACAACATAGAAGTGTTCCTAAAATAAGGGTATAATAAGAAAATTTTATTTATTTATTTTTTTTCAAATAGTTTGCCAATAATTTTTTCATGTCAATTTCCATTTTTTTTAAATAAAAAAATTGAGAACTGAAAATAGAATACAAAAATGATATTAAATGCTCTCTAAATTCTACAAATTCTATAGAAAATTCACATGTCAGTGTATGTGAACTTAAAATTCTACAGAGCATTCTTAGACATCTAATTCTACAAAACAGTTTTAGACATTTTTTTTAATTATTTCTGTCAATTTCTACATCTGGTAGGTAAACTACTTTACGTATGTTGGAAGAACTGTGGAGTTCATATATGTTGTTTAATGATAATCTATTAAATAATCCTTTTGTTATCCTACAGGTGAAGCACAAAGCACTTATCATTGGGGGCGAGTGCGATAACATTGTCTGCAGTAAGCTTGTGATGGTTAGTTTTTGAATGTTTGACATTTAGATAAAAATTTTATAATTTAATAACACACACAACAAAACAGCAGATGTTGTTTTTGAACGGTGTTAAAAAAAAATTATATTAGTTACCAAGGAACTAAAAGAGGATGAGCAAACAACAAAGTGCCCTATTCTTTAATATTTAGGGTAAATTACACTGTCCACTCCTCAGGTTTTGAAAAAACACAATAAGCTTAATAAGTTTAGTATAATTACATTGACCTCACTTTCAATAAGATTAAAACAGCCCAATTGTAAAAAGCATATGACAACTTCTTGACTAAAACATTGCTTAAAATTGTTTTTCATCACAGAACACAAAGCTATAACGCAACCAACAAAGACTGGAGTTAGATTTTTCTAACTATTCTTTTTCATTTTGTTGTTGAACATAATGCAGAGACTGCACTGCGAACTGCCAAATTCAATTATGCGCCAAATACCAGATTGTGGTCATCTTCCTCACGTTGAGAAGCCCAATGCTATTGCAAAGTTGATCACTGATTTTGCTCAAGGTGATAGCTGCTAGAAGGCCCTTTTGCTCGTCGACTAGATGGTTTTACTTTCTCTCACTTGTGTTGTGTCTCATCGTGCGTATACATTGCTGGCCGATACATCTGGAGGGTGAGCTTGTTCTAGGGTTTTAATAAAGAAAACCACTGCCAGTCATCTAATGGTCCCGTTTGGTAAAGCTGTAACAGATTATAACTTATAACTGTGAACATAAGCTGGTAATCTGTTTGGTGCAGCTGTGAGATTATAGATTTAAGTAACGGAATAGTGTTTGGTAAATAAGCTGTAAAATAGTTTTTTGCTGTATAATTGTCATTTTTGCCTTTATAAGATATAAAATTTGTGATTTCATTTATAATATATATATATATATTTTTTGCTTTTTCATTTTATTTTATTTTCTTTTCTTTTTCACCTTATTTTCTTTTCTTTTTTTTAAATTTTTTTTTCTTCTCTTCTTTCTTTGTTAATTTTTTTTTAATTTATTAATTCATTAAAATTAATATCCATGTTCTAATTTATATTAATGTTGTAATTTTATTACATATTATTTTCATATATTCATTTTAATTATTTATATCTGTATTTCTTTTCTTTATTATTGTTATTAATTGTGATTTTAGTATAAAAATTATCAATTGCTCATCAATTATTAAAATATTATTATTATTATTATTATTAATTTGTTCATCAATTATTAAAATTATCGTCAATTGTCCATTAATTATTATTATTATTATTATTTCATATTATTATTATTCTTAGTAAAATTAGTAAAATTATTATTATTAGTGTCAATTAATGGATTAATAATTATTACTATTATTATTATCATTTTCATTTTTAGTATCAATTAATATTAATAATCAACAATTGTTATTAATTAGTATAAATTAATATTAATTAATATATTAATACTAATTTATTAATTTATTAATACATTAATATTTATTAATATTTTAGTTTATTAATATATATTTTTTAATACTAAAATTATTTAATTCTATCAATTATTTTTTATTAATATTTATTTTTTTCTACAATTATTTTAATTATTTAATACTAAAATTATTTTTTAATTTTAAAATTATTTTACTTTCCTTCTCCTCTTCGTTCGTACGTCACCGGTGGCAAAACGACGACGGCGAAACGACGGACCAGAGACAATGGTTAGTGTTTCAGATCGAGGAGCTAAGGTTTCATCGCCTTTGGTTCGTGCGAGAGAGAGAGAGAAGAGATCGCGATCGCGGCGGCGCTAGGGTCTCCTCTGGTTCGTGCGAGAGAAAGAGAGAGAAAAGAGATCGCGACGGGGCATATCGAGATCACGACGGAGCTATGGTTTCTACTAAATCGCGAGAGAGAGAGAGAGAGGTCGCAACGGAGCAGATATGGATGTTGTGCTGTGTTGACCCCATATCGTCGCTCCATCTGTCGTCGGAAATCGCTTCTGTCCACCGAAAATTGCCAGTCCTTTCGTGAGTGTATTTTATTTATATACCTGGTTCACTTGTAATTACTTCAAAGTATGAAGGACATTTAAGTCTTTCACACGCAGCTTGCCGGTTAAGCTGAAAATTAAACACCCCTTCTCCCACTCAACCAAAAAACTCATTTTCCACTTATAAAAAGTTATAATCTACATCCATTAAGCTACACCAAACACTCCAAAATTACTTATTTTAAGCTATAAGTGGATTTAAGTTAAAAATAAGCTTTGCCAAACAGGCCAAATGTATGATATTAAGAATCTGAAATAGCATGGCTAGGTTGTTGAGGTAGATCAAGTGTACAGAAAATGGTAAACAATAAATGTTATATGGCCTTCGTTTGGCAACTTGGGTTGGGTTTTGGACTATTTTAGCCAAGATAAAAAATAGATTTTTTAGCCTAATAAGACAAAATGTCACATTTAACTCATAATCATTACATTTTTTCTCTCAAAAAAGTCAAAAAAATTAAAAAACTTATCCCAAATGAGACTTTTTAGCCTCACATTAAAATAGTATACCTGTCTCAACTTTAGAATTTCTTGAATAATTTCTAGCTATAAATAAATTCTCAAAGGACAAGGTTTAATGCGTTCAAAATATAAAATAAAATGAAAGTACAAGGTTTAGAATCACTGGAAAAAATTTAAGGCACTTTTTGTTAGAGTTTTAGAATTATGATTTGAGAATAAAACTGTATTTTGAATTTGTGAGTTTTGTAATTATGATTTTAGGTGTGGAAAATTTGTTTGGTTATAAGTTTTGAAAATAATTTTGAATTGAGTTTGAAATGAATGATGTGACATGATATTTGATTGAAAAATTTACAACTCATAACTAAACATACAACTCAAAATTCTATTCAAAATTCATAAAAAATTTTAAAAAAAAAATTGAAAATATTTTTTATTGAAAATATAAAAATAACATGTGCAAAAAAAAAAAAAAAAAAAAAAAACAACAACAACAACGAACACTCTTTTGGTCAACCACTCAAATGTCCGGGGGATGACTGGATAGACGTGTTTTGAAAAGTGAGTATGAAATTAAGTTTTAGAAGCACTAACCAAACACGACACTCAAAGTAAAGGGTGAAACTACGATTTCAGAGTTTTACCAAACAAAGGTGTTTGGGGAAGTTTTAGAATTATTATTTGAAAATAGAGTTGTATTTTGAGTTTGTGAATTTTGGAATTATGATTTGAAAAAAGAAAATTTGTTTGATTATGAGCTTTGAAAAGAGTTTTGAATTGAGTTTTGAATTTTTGATATGACATATGAAATGAGAAAAGCTGTTTGGTTATGAGTTTTGAAAAAAGTTTTCAAAATTTAATTCAAAAACTTATAACTTATAACCAAACACACAACTCAAAACTCTATTGAAAATTTTATTCAAAATTCATAACCAAATTCTTTTTAAAATTCAATTCAAAAAAATAATTTGTCATTTTGGTCTAAAAAAATAATTTGTATATTTGAAAAATATCAAAAACAAATATATTTTCTTTTTTCCAAATAACAAATGGCGATTGAAAATTGCAAAAAAAAAATTGTACTGTTTCGGTCAACCGGTCGGACGGCCGAGTAGACCAAAAATTCAAAAATTATCTGTTTCGCCAAACATGTTTTTAAAATGTAATTTGAAATTGATTTAAAATCATAATTTAAAAATTCAAACTAAACATGACATTCAAATATAAGGATAAAATTAATTTTCAAAAGCTCTACCAAACACATATGATTTACAAAGTCACGCAACATCTAAAATAGTTACACTCCTTGGCCAATTTCGTGTTTGCATTTTGTATTTTATTTTATTTTATTTTTTTCGCGCCGCATTTGAGAATATCTCCTAGGCCAAGGGAGTTCTCTGGAAGGATTATCTTTTGAAACTATTTTGTTTCGTTTGATAAGAGTTTTGAATTATAGTTTCATCCATTGATTTGAATGTATTGTTTATTTTAAGCTTTCAAATCATAATTCTACAACTATTTCTTAAAACTTAATTCAAAATATAATCATTATTTTTCAAAACTCATAACTAAACACATAATTCAAAACTCTTTTCAAAGCTCAATTCAAATCAATATTTTAATTTTTTAAATATTTTAAATCTATATAATAAAGCAGGAAGATTTTTGAAAATATGTTAGACACAATTGTCCTACTAAGACATTTCAATGGTCATGATTAGGGCTGTGCAAAATACCGCTCAATCCGCTAAAATCGCACCGATCCGTATCTATCTGCACCGCTCTAACCGCTAACCGTGGTTTAAACTTTAAAATTTATAATTCGCCAACCGAACCGCTCCGCTATAGTTAATACATATATATTTTTTAACCTCCAATGAAATATCAATGTAAAAATGAGTGTGAGAGAGATTTAAGATATGAAATTTATTACACATTAGTGGTTATTTATATGAAACATATTATGTAAAATTACTTTTTGTTATATGTCTAAAAAATATTATACGAATTAGTGTTATATATTTTGCAAATGTATGATAATAGTTAGAATATTCTTCAATCCGCCAATCCGCCAAAAATCGCCCAAACCGCAATTTGTCAATCCGCTAATCCGCCAACCCGCCATTCGGTTTGTAAATTTACTCACAAACCGTCTGAACCGCACCGCGCACACCCCTAGTCATGATTCACCTGTGTATTTACATAGACGGATGAGATGACTCCCTTTAAATATATATCAATCCCCTTCTCGCCCAAACACTGAAGTACCTGCTCACCCACGTCAACCTGCTCACCCACGTCTCATCTCCATTCTATTCACCCACGTCTCATCTCCTTCTATCTTTAAGATCACTCTGTTATTCAATCTTTATCTCCTCCCTTCTTTGTTCTCACCCACCCCATTCCCTCTTTTATCTCTCTACTCTCCAGCCCTGCTCTTCTTCTTCTGCTCTCCAGGTAAGATCACTTTTCAATTGTTCTTGCGATCATAAATAAATGATAAATAAATGTGGTCTTTATCACTCTGTTGTTTTATTATCACTTTTCAATTGTTCTTGCGATCTTCAACTGTTCTTGCGATCATAAATAAATGATCATAAATAAATGTGTGTTGTTTGATTACCCCTACTGTTGCGATCATAGTTCTAATTATCTTTTTTGATATTTTGGTTCTGCTTCAAATTTCAGAGGCTTGCGTTTTATTTTCATCATTTGATTCCCCTCAGTCTTCATTCTCTTTAGAGAGAGAAGATGGAGGAGGAGGTTGGCGGTGTTCTTGATTGCAATCACCAAGTCGACCATTTTTTTCTTTTCTTTTACTATCACCTAACGAAAAACAATCATGATCATTACTCTCACTATCCCTTCATCATCACCACCTCTCTCTCTCTTTACTCAAAGACTTCCATTACAACCCATTTTACAGCTCAAAACAGAGTCCAGAGCGTCCGTACCCATTGCTTCTCTTTCTCTTATTCTAATCTTCTTTTTCAGTCCAGGGCTTCACACCCATTAAGTGTTTATTTGAATGGGTCTGAGAGGTTGTTCCATTTTTTAACTGAATCGACAGTTGGGTTTTCTTGAGCTGTCCATTTCATGGGTTTGTGCTGTTGGGTTTTCTGGTTCGGCTTCATTCTGTTCTGTGTGATCAAGATGGTATTACCATTGTTCTCTTTGTTCTTTCCTTTTTTATTGCATTTCTGGTCACTTAATAGACATGAAATTACCAACATTTGGTACTTGAATTGAGTACCTATTTGAATTAAAACCTCTCT